AAATGTGTAATTAACTACAGCTACAAAAGCCGAGGACTCTGCATATCCCATTTTTTCAGTGCTAAAATATGGGGGCCACAGGCTCTGGCTGAGGCAGAGCACGTCTAGGTTGGAGGCAGTGGTGTGCCACTTGTAGGACACTTTTTAAGCAGCACTGGCAAAACATGTCCTCAGAGAACCCTTTCTTCATCATAATCACAAAGAGCTTTTATTGTACTAAATGCTATACAAAGTATAACAAATAGACACACTCTCAGAACTTTGTGTTTTCAATCCAAGACGTTTCTGTCAAGCAAGAGCATAAAGGAAAAATATACAAAGAGCAAAGACATAACTAAATTAAGATGCATTTATATCAGTTGCAAAAAAGTGGCAGGGGGTGGGAAGTTGGGGACAACTAGAGGGACTCTTAGGAATAATTATTTTGGCAGGCAAGGGTAAAATCTGCCAACTTCCTGACTCTAGATAATTAATTACATGGGAGAGGGCATTCAATGTGGCCCTGGACATTTCAACTGAATAACCACTCATTAGTATTAAGTGCCTACTAATGTATACCATTGACTGTTTCCCGCAGATACAAGAATGTCAGGATGAAATAGTTCCCTATCCTCCGCCTCTAATGGAGACCCACCAGTGTGTCACCCCCGAATTGCATTCTTTTGGTCCTCCCACTTTGCCTCTCCTTCCAGGCTGCAGATGGAATTCCCCATGGCAGGGATGAAGAATGCCATTCCGCAGGCAGCAAAGACAGCTCACTTGTCCCCTCACTTGTCCTCCTGTGGAGATGACAGAGTTGGGAAAATGGCGGAGTCAAACTTTCCCAATAGCCACCTCTCTTCTGAAATGGGCTTCATGAGGAGACCAATGATCTAGCCAGGGTCTGTGACAGGAAACGATCATGGCTCCTTGGCTTGACCTCTGCCTTAAGTTCCCTTCAGATGGCTATGTAAAAGTCACGTGGGGAAGAGGGAGGGTATTAAACAACCTTGTGATAAGTAGGATACATCTGATAACACAACCGTTACTACTATCACATTATCTCATTTGATCCTCATTTGAAATGGGCACTGCCCAAACGATTAAGTTCAGAAAAGTAATTGCAACATCCTCCTGGTTGATTATTAATCTTCTGTGAGCGCCAGAGGAAATCCAGAGCAAAGTCAGAGTGAGAAGGGGACTCTGCGAGGTCATCTATCTCCTGACTTCAGAGAGAACTCTGAAAACACTGCCAACAAATATAAGCCCATTTTTAGATGATTTCAGGAAAAAAGTTCCCATTTTCTGGTATCCAAATCCTCCATTTTATAATATCCATTTTTATATTTCATCTTGAGGTCCCCAAACTCCACTGTGCGTGAGAATCACTTGGGGGGCTTGTTAAAACACAGGTCTCTGGGCCCCGGCCCCAGTGTCTGGATCAGTAGGTGGAGGATGGGGCCTGTGAGTGTGCATTCCTCACACGTTTCCAGGGGGTGCTGTTGCCCAGGGTGCCGGGACCGCGCTGTGAGGACGGCGGTTCTAACCTAGCCCTCACTGCACTGAATCTTTACATTCTCAATGGAAACAGACGCCAGCTGGTACCGATTCCTTGGTACTGAGGCACACACATACTTGAATAACAATTCAAGAGTCCCCCAGCCATTTCTTTTCTTCCAGGCTAAATAATAGAAGTTCCCTAACATCTTATTATAGGTATCATTTTTCAACCCTTTAATCATTTTTTGAGGTTCTTTGTTGCACCCTCTCCAAGTCTCTTTCAGTTGTGGAGACATGAACTAGACCCAGATCCTTAGTCAGAGACTGGCTGAGGCCAAGGATAAAGGGGAAAATGACTCACAGATTCAAATAGCACGCTCCTGTTTGTTAATCTCCCATACCCAAGCTTGCCTTATTAGCTCCCTTCTGATTCACGTCCTTCCGAGTCCTTTATGAGCTGCAGTAACGCTTAGTTGACCTTTGTAATGCCTTTCTTCTCAGATGCTTAAAGCATGTCTCCGATTTAATAGTTGACTCAGCATCCTAAACCAGTACAGAGACAAGTAACTGGTTCCACTGCGTATCAGTTCAGGAGGAGGGAAAATCTGGAACCCAAATTCAGGTTTCTATCCAAATATTGTTACGTGGAGAAAGACACTTCTTACATTTACTGGACTTTACAAGATATCAAGTTTACTTCCTCCACACAATAACAACAGGTGTAGGTGTGGGTGAAACTCCTGAGCCCCCTTCCCTTTTGGGGGACCCTGTAGGGGAGAACTGGGACTTGTGGATAAGGCTCCGGGGGTCAGTCTTCTCGTTTCCATCTCCTCCCCAGCTGCGAGAAGAGAGGCGAGCGGCACCGCAGGTGCCAGCGCAGCCTGTCCTAATGCTCATCGTCAACAGCCCAGGTGAAACAAGAGCCACCCCTGACCCTCCCCGCACCGCCTTGTTTTCCTTTTTTCCATTTCCAGATTCCTTTTTCTGCCAGGGGACCCTGTGGATGTCCACGGCCGAGCCTTCGTGGACCGCCTAATTTTAGCATATGAGTTCTTGAAGAGTAGGAACTGTGCTTTCTTTGTGCATTGTGTGCGCTCTGGGGGGTGCTTAACACATGCTAAATAATGACAACGGACCCAGTATTTCCAGGAGAAACCAGCGTTCCTGCCGACTGGCAGAGCCTACTGCCATTTACTTGTATGGAAGGCAGGCGAAGCTGAAGGCATCCCTCTTGCTCACAGTTCTTTCATTTGAGATAAAACAGCTGAAACTCAATATAGCAAAGTCGATTCCTACAAAATTTCCTTTTGAAAGAGAACGTTTCTAGAGGTGTGATCACTGAGCATTGGCATTCAGCTCCAAAACAAAGGGAACCTGGAAGATAATGTAAGTTCCCATATAGCTGTACAGACAAGTTACCCATTAAAAACATCATATTGATGAAGGAGATCCACAGAAAAGACTGCTCTTTACCTCCCTGAAAAACCCCTCAAAGCTTCAGAGCAGAAGTCTAGTCTTTGGAATAAAGTAACGGTAAAATAAATGGACTGCAGTTAGGAGCTACTCTGTCAGAGCCTCTGGATTCGTGACTATTTTAAGAGGTAAAAGACTAGGAGGAGAGAGCAGGCCACCAATGAAAGCAGTCTAACAGGACGGGAGGACAGACGGGCACAACGCTAACGGCAGTGCGGGCGATGGCGACGGAAGGTGCAGGCGTGCCCGGCGCACGGTTGAAGCCACAGGCTCCTGGACATTGCTACAGGCCACAAAGCCGCCTGTGTTTCTCAGCATCTGGACCCCCATTTGCGACTTGAGTTGAGCTCATTGTGATCTGTCACGACCAAGGTCATAGCTAGTCAACAGAGCATCTACTCATGAGGGCACCATAACCAGTGTCACTGCATCACGCACACAGGACAAGGAGAAGCGCAGAGAATCACAGCACCAGCAAACACGAGCAATAGGACACTGGTACTTACATAATGAAAATGAGCTCCTGTTTCATTCACCTGTGTTACTCTCTCACAGCCCATAAATCATTAAAACAAACACTCAGAAAGTGTTTATGAGCCTTTTTAGCAACTCTTAAAAAGAACACATGCTTCCTAGTAGTAAAAACACCTTAAGAAATTTTCTGTTCAAATAAGCCTACCTTTAAAAACACTTCATTGAGATTCTGATGGCGACTTAACAACTAAAAGAATAAGAAAGGTTACTTTCTTTGAATAAAAGTATATATTATGAAGCATACACTGGAACAAAGTCGTTTTTAGTGCTTAAAATGATATTACAGACTTTTCTGTTTTAATTACAATTAATCTGGCTGCAAATTTCTCTTTTGCTCAATAAAAAACTTAAGTTTTAAAAAAAGTTCCTTTCCAAAAATAGTACAAGAACTCAGTTTTATTTTTCCTTCTTACATTCTTTTCCTACTAAACATACCACTGAAACACTTCCTTTCATTGTTGACACCTTAGGTCATTTGTATTTAAAATCGGACAATACATAATAACAAAGAAGTCTTTAAATAAAGCTTTCAAAATGGGAAAATGGCATTTGAGGGCAAGCCTCCCTCCTAGCTCACAGAGATGACAGAGACAGGGAACGCCTGTTAAGCAGCTACTTCACAGCCTATTAGAACTGTCTCATTAAAATCAATATTCCTGGAAGGGATATAATTTACACATTAATTGATAAAGAAATTCCTGCCTAGTTCTCTGTAATAAGCAAATTGTTTGGCATGAAGTCAGTGTATTCTGATTTAAAATACTTCAAACTAAGCAAGGTGATTCAGATTTAATTAAAAATATTCAAAATTAAAACCCTTAGTTTTCTTCAGTCCAAATTTAAGTTGGCAATGACTTGTTAAATTAAGAGCACTTAAAATTGGAGACCTTCATGACCTTTGGTTAATTTTGGTAATTAACTTAAACTTCCAGAGGATGCTTTCAATTGTTTTCTAAAGTCTTCCTACTAAGAGTATTTTACTTTTTTTAAGTGCTTCTCCTTAGGAATACATGGGTCTATTATTAAGAAGAAAATCCTCCTTAAAGAAATAAAAATTGTCCACCTATACATTTTACAAAATTGCATTTGACACTCCCATTTTTCTGCAACATAAGCCTGTAAGTCGGGCTTAGTAAAATACAGCAGGACTCCTTTTAATGTTTTTTAACATATACGAGTTAGGTTACCATAGGGAATAAAGCTCAATGACACAACAATTTCCACAATCGAATGTTTTAACAGATAAAATAAGTGATAATCTACAGATTGCCTTGCAAATACAAAAATAATAAAAATCAAATACTTTCTCTTGGGAAAACTGAATAAAGCAGGTTTCTTGCAGTATGACAGATTTAAAGAAAAACCTTTGGTCACCATTCTTAGAATCCTCTAAAGTACTAACCCCAAAGTTTCCAGTTTTTCCAAGAGATTAAAAAATAACTATGATAGTAACATTAAGAAGGTTTAAGGAGAAAAGAACAAAGAGAAATCCTGAAAATTCACCCAGTACTTACAAGTACTTTCAAAGGAAATCTGAGCTGCAATTCTTCAGAAGACTGCTCTCCCGATCATGAACACTCTCTGAAGTCTAAAATAGATATCCTATCACGTTAGGAGGAGAAGTCACATTTCAGCTTACTAACTTCTACTTGGGTAAACAGTTTTACAACTCGTAGAACAAACCCTGGCTAAAATTAACTGCACCCCAGCGGCAGGCAGGAACTCGCTGATTTGCATCGTGTGTGTCGGGATTTATTCACTAGGACAACACTGGTGTCCTCTTAATGGGAAATTTGGCCAAGGGGCGTGCTCTGGTGAACAATACACAGCATCATGATTATGCTAATTATGGAATTCAGTCCCATGATACTAACTTCTTTTAAGTTGTTTTTGCAAGTACTGACAAAGAGAAAAAGTAAGCTCTTGTTCACAACAGGCATTCACTTGATTTTTTTTAAGCACATTCAAATCAGACCAAACTTTGGCAACAAGGTGGCAGTGCTGTATGCTCTTCACAAGCAAAAGCCTAGTAAAAGAACATTCTGTCAGATTACTTAAACAGTACAACTGGATGTGGTACTGTGAAATTAAGTGGGCATCAAATACACACACCAGTAAGTCTACCAACAAGTTGCCTTGAATGAAAGCTTTTTCCTTGCTATCTAATGAACTAGCTTCATTTACTTGCTTTTTTGGCTTGGTCTCCTGCACCTCCCAAGGAGTTGCTACGAGGACACAGCTTCACTAGTAAATTACAACTGAGAACAAACATCTGAAATATTTGCAAAAGGCATCATCCTTGGCAAGAAGCATTTTGAAGTGTATTTAACAGCCTGGCTGGCTGTAACTAGTTAATTGTCCTCTAAAGTTGACTGACCATCTATCTACAAAGCATGTTGAAGCTCAAGTTAACAGCTAAAGACCACAAGTAAACCGCTGATGTTCAAAAGAAAATTAGAAGTAACACGGAGCTTTCTTTAAAAAGTATAAACTCCTTTACTAAGTACAACTTATACCAAAGACACAGAACTGCCTAGTACCTATTCAAGGTGGTTCAGGCGCATTTGTTCAGACATTTAAGTTCTGATGACATACTTAGCTCTTACTGGACTCTCTACCGAAAACATCAAAACCATGTTACAGATACCAATCAGCTCTCTAAACAGCTCTGAGGAATGTCATTTTCTCTTTAAAAACAAGCAAACAAACAAACCAGATGGGTAAACGGGGAAATTCAATCAATAACTTGCCCAAGCCTTCTTTCTGAACCAACACTGGGTTATTCCAACCCTCTCCTAACCTCTCTCTGATATATGTCTTCCATATTAACCATTTAGCTAAAACTTTATACATCTTTTTGAAACTGTTTGTTTTCCTAATTTTAAAATGTCATGTCAGCTTAGACTTCAAGAGATTTATTCTACTCAACTCCCAAATTCCAAGCCTGAGCTCCCGGGGCTCACTCCCTCACGCACAATTGCAGGCAGGTGTCCTGTAACAAGGACGTGACCATGTCCTGGAGAAGCACTGTGGCATGTGCCCCCAGGGTGGCAAACGAAGGGCTTCTCATTGGCATGAGCCGGAAACCACCAGCACAAGCCCCCTCCTGTCTATTTACAAACACTGCTGGCTGCTCATCTGGGATCCCACCCCCACTGCCCAATCTGAGGCAGCTGCAGCCAGCACCGCCCCACCTTCACTAGACGGTAGCTGGTGGCGCCTACCACCATCCCAACCCAAGGTCACCAGAGGTGGGCATTTCCCACTCTGTGCCACTGGGCAAAAAGTTGGCACTTATCATATATGGCTAACTTCTGAGTACTATAATTAATTCTCAGTGATCCACAGCAAACTTAGTCTGGAATTCTTAAAGCCAAAAGAGGATGTTGTAAGGCTATTTCAGACACAGTTATCCTTATCATATTATGTCATAGTTCAGCAGAAGACTTTCTAAGCCAAAATATTATTTCTTCCCTAAACCAGAAAGGAGAAGTGAATACACAAACTTTATTTCTACATTCATTTTTCACCAGAGAACAATATGATAGACCTATACCGATTACACTGAAGGCAGTATATACGAGGCCGGGGATGCAAGCACTTTTCCAGTTCCTCACATGCTCACGCTGAGAATGACTCCGCTGCTTCTTTCAACAGTGGCCCCACCTGTTCCAAGAGGCAAGAGCCAAAACATTCCAAAGAAAATAGCACATCCTCCAATTTACATTAGTCACCCTGCTGATTCCTTTTCATTAGTGAAAATAATTTGAGTCAACTGTACTTTTGTTCCAGGCATAGTTTTGAGAATAGGGGAAAAATCTATGTGCATCATTAAAAGCAAGATAAATTCTCCCCATTGGTCCTCACGAACTTGTGGTGGTAGAGGAGGAGGCACAGGCAGCCCCGTGCCGTTGGACAGCGGTGACCTGTAGGATCCTTAGTCCAACAGATCCATGAAATTAAAACAAAGGAAAAAGAGAAACCACTGTTTTTATAAATTGAGTTAATGAATTGACCTAGAAATGGACCCTCTAGAGCAGCTACATATATAATTTTAAAATTTCTAGTAGTTGCATTAAAAAAGCAAAAACAAGTGAAATTAATTTTAGTAGTACATTTTATTTAACTCCATATATCCGAGATACTATCATTTCAGCACGTAATGAACAGCCACAGCCATTACAGTCACATCCCTTCTACCATCAATAATACAGTCCTTGCTGAAGATCAACTTGGGATATTTACTGAGCGAGGGTTAAAACTCCGTGCTTTTATAGCTCAAAGCTTCACAAAATAAAAAGTAGGAAGGGGGTTCAAATGATTAAGAATGTCGGGGAAACCAAGGGTCTGTATAAACTATCCCTTTGAAAACTCTGCGGCTCTGACAGCCTGATGAATCTCTCCTTCTCTCTCTACCACACCACCTGTCGGCCCACCGTCGAGTCAGAATTTAGGGACGCTGACTGAATAGTACACATGAACAAATTCTGCACCTTGGTAGGTCGGGCAGGAATAACCGCTCTGTGTTCCCGCTTCCCTGCATCCACACCCCTGGCTTGTCCTTTCCCACTCTGACTCTGGGATGGCCCCTGGGCAACAGCAAACACAACCCAGAGACACGTAAAGTGCAGGCCCCCTGGGGCTGCCCTCTGCTGCTCTTTGAAGCCTTGAGGTCACTGCATGAGCAGCCCTGGCTAGCCGACCAAGGATGGGGAGACCACACGCGGCAAAGAGGCACCATCTGCCGCGGAGGCCCCTACACCAGCCTGCGAGACGACTGCCTGACATGTGGGAGGCCATCCCAGACCCTGTGGCCCCAGCCAGGCCGTCCGCTAGCCACAGCGATCGGCCAGGCAGGATGTTAAAGCCAAAAGAGGATGTTGTAAGGCTATTTCAGACACAGTTATCCTTATCATATTATGTCAGAGTTCAGCAGAAGACTTTCTAAGCCAAAATATTATTTCTTCCCTAAACCAGAAAGGAAAAGTGAATACACCAACTTTATTTCTACATTGATTCTCAATTTCTCAAACCAGAAAAACCACCTAGGTGACCCATACAATTGTGAAACACGATAAATGTTAGGTTTTCTAAGTATTGTGTGGTTTGTTATGCAGCAAAAGCTCACTAATACACAATCTTTGAAAAGTCTATATTTCAGTCCTTTACTTCCAAATGAAACCTGTTAAGACTAATCTATCTTACTCCTAAAATTCACAATTCTACAAAAAATTCAATTCTGATTACTGTATTTATCTGTCATATCAACTATCACGTTAATCACACTAAAACGAAGCAGCGATATGTTCTGATTATAAAAGTGCTAAAATAATAAGTGTTTTATTTATTTCACCTTATAATTTGAAGCAAATACATGTAGGCTTCAATGCTACAATTATATACACTAAAGAAATGATTCTTCCTTCCTAGCCTTAAGTGTGATTACCTTGGCATTGTTCATAGCTATTCAGTCTGTCAATACTTGAGAAATGGATTAAGAGTCCCAGGTTATATGCACATGAACAGGGAAACCTAATTCAAAGAATAAACCATTTTTTTCTTCAGCATTTTTTAAAATAAGCTAAAAAGAAATACATAGTAGCAAACTTCAAGACCAGTCTTTTTAAGACTTTAATAAATAGCTAATTCAGCATCATTTAGCTATTTCAGGACTATGAAAGTACTAATTCTGTTGTTTTAAGGCTTATTTCAAAGGAGTTGATTTTTTAAAGTATCTTAGAATCCTAGTGGGGAATTTTACCATCACTGTACATTCCTATCATCATCCATTGAACCAGCACCTGTTAATCAGGCGCTTCCTGCCACTGTGAAACTGCCAGGCCTTTGCAAAATTTGTGTGAAGGGCACAATGCCCTTGACTCTAGCAGAAAATGCTGTAAATGACAGTCCTGCCTTCAAGGCGCTTGTGCTCTGACAGGAGATGTGGCAGCGGACTGTATTTCTGTCCAAGGTTGCGGCCGACTGAAGTTAGATGTGGATTTTCTACCCTGCAGAGGGTCAGCGCCCCAACCTCTATGCTGTTCAAGGGTCGACTTTATATAAACTTCCTGTCATATGAGGGAGTAGTCAGTAAACATCCCAGAGAGGAAAAATTCATTCCTGTAGAAATCTAAGAAAAGTAGAAGAGGTTCCAGTTATATTAATCAAAAACGGTATCTTGGAGGAAGTGACATTTGAATTGAGCCTTTGTATGCTGATGAGCTTTCAATAGCAGAAGGAGTGGAAATAACATTTTACAGAACCAATAACAAGTAAAAATAGAGAAAAAGGGAAGATACAACGTATATGCAGGGAATGGCTTGGATTCAGATTTCAGCTCTACCAATTAATAGCTGTTTTGACTACTAATAGAATTCCTTAATTTATCCAAGTCTATGCTATAAAGTATCCAATCAGAGTACAGATATGGACTCTACAGCAAGACAGCCTGGGTTCACATTCTAGCTTAATCACTTCGTTTTTGACCTTGGGCAATGACTCTTTCTGTGCCTCAGTTTCAACATCTTTAAAATGGGGATAATAATATACATCATAAGGTTACGCAAATATAAATGAGAACAATGCCTGGTGCTTAATATATAAACATGTTGTTAAGTAATTAAGTAAACTCAGGTTTATGCACATACAGCATGATAAACAGATATGAACGAATATAGGTATACGTAGCTATACCCAGCTGTATCACCAAGGACAGTGCCTGGCATGCAGTGGGTACTAAATACATATTTAATTTTTCCCCTTTGTCTAGTGTTCAGAGAGAAACACACTAGAGCACAAGGGTCACATGTGTTTTCATGTGCTCCAACATTAACCTCCCCTCAATTAACAGAAAAGGGACTGCACTTCTCCACTTTGAAACCAGGGGTAACAATTCTGCACTTGATAGTATAAGATGCCAGGCCTGAAACTGCTGACAGACATGGCACGGCTGCCAGAGCCCAACAAAGGTGTGCTAATATCTCTGTAATAAATACACTTTAAACAGAAAAATAAAGCATAGGTTTATTAAGTATAACCTGAACTTCTGTAATTTATT